GGGGGGGGGGGGGGGGGGGCGACCATCAATCAATCAATCAAGTTGTTGTTGTTGTTGTTGTTGTTGTTTACACCCAATCCACCCCCTCCCGGTATTCGTTTTTTTTCATTTTTTTTCCTTTGAGGGAGTGGGGTTGGGGTTGCGCAACCCCAATCAGCCCCCAAACCCTCCCCCCCATCTGGCCGTCATGTGGCCGCATGGTCGCGCGGCCACGCGGCCCCGGCCTTGGCTGTGCATGGCCGCCTCCGGGGGAGATTCATAGGATAGGGGTACAGCGGAGGGGACCATGAACGGCAGCACTGATCATGATGATGACGCTACATGACCAGAGGGGACGAGAAACATCATACATGGTCGAGGATAATGATGATGGTATGGAACGGGAGATTAGCATCTCCGACCCAAAGTACTGGCGAAGAAAGTAGCAGTGGTGCTGATCAGTTCAATCATGGTATTTTTTTTATTTGTTTTTTACTTCGATGATCATATCCATAAAAAAAAAAACCAAAAAAGTCCATAGATCCTGCTACTCGATCCATGATGACTGGGTCTTCTATTCAAGTGCATACGACGGGCTGCCGTCCTCTTTTTTTTACTTCTTTCTTTTGTGAAAGTGTCCATCCCGTCATTTTTAAATGAAGCGTTTTTGGTTCTATCCTTATCCCCCGCAGAGAGCATGCGGTTTTCTTTATCTGAGGAATTATTCTACATCAATTAAAAATAATAAAAATAAAAAACACGAAGTACAACCTACGAATCTCCCACTGAGGCGGCTGTGGGCGGCCATGGCCATGGCCACGTGGCGGCCAGGGAGAGAGGGGGGGGGGGTTCTAAAGTGGATTGGGGTTGTGCAAAGCCCGCCCCACCCCCTCACAGAACAACAACAAAAAAAAAACACTTTTCGGGGGGGGGGAGGGGGGGGAAGGGGAAGCACCCACCCACCAATTCACTCCAACCACCTACCGACCAAGCCACTCCAAGCATCTACCAGTCGAGGCACTCCAAGCACCTACCGACCGGGCCTCTCGA